GCGGCTGCGGTACCGGCGCTCTGGCATCGGGAACTGAAGGCCGCATTATCGCCCTGCCAAGAGCCCGAGGCAGCGCCTGGTTTGCATATCAATGTACAGGCTCCAGCACCCGGAATTCCTTGCTCCTTCCTATCTCTCGTACTAGAGATACGAGCTATTTGCGCCAAGCTCAGCAGCCGTGGAGACTTGAGGCAGGTCACTTTTGTTTGCGTCTTGCAGGCGAAAGGAACGCAGATGTTTGCCATCCTCAGCATGTGATGGGTAGTTTGGGGCTCTGTTTTAATACGTTCTGATTTAGTTTAGTACTGCCTGTTTAGTCTCAGCTTCTGGTTTTTATGCCAGGCTAGAAGGCATTGGAAGGTGATGAATCAGTGGACCAGCAAAAGGCCTGCATGGACAAGTTCTCCTTTTATTTAAGAGGGTTTTATCCAGTTAGGAAGGTTTTATCCCATGATTATCAGGATGAAATTAACTCGTGTAAGAGGGAGGTACTTGAGACAGTTAATGAAGTCGCATTGATGCCTGAAGTGTGGACTGGACCATGCACGTTACCTTTCTGTCTTGTGCGTCAGCCACTGCTGACACTGCTCTTTATGCTGGGGATTGTCCCAAACTCCGCAGCATGAGTCTAGATAGTATGTAAGTGCACCAGCGGCATTTCCATCCCACCTCTGGCACCTGGGGCAGTCTGTGATGCTCCTGCCCCTAGCAGGGATGCTGAAATGTCTGACACTGCCTTTTCTGAGCTTCTGTTTGTCCAGTGCCTTTCTGTGTGTAGGACTGAAAAGGAGCTGCCAGGTCATGAGCAGGCTCCTGCAGTTGTTTCTCACTCAGCTGCACATGCAGAGCCCAGAGGAATGCTGAACAAAGGTCTGTTTCATGTCCTTCCTGCTCTTGACATCCTATGCTATCTCTGCATCCTATTGCAAGCTTAGTTGCCCTGCAAGTTTGTGTTCCTTCTGCACTCACATCATGCTTCACCTCTTTATCAAAAATAAGATGTAGGAGGAGCCGGTCTGCATAGGCGAACACTGTTGGTGTATGCCAGGTTCACCGTTGCCAAGTTGCCTTGACTTGGGAATTCTGTCAAGTGTGGAGAAACTAGCATCAGCTGTCATGTTGTGCTGGTTTCCCAGTCATTAGAAGACTTAGTCACTTAGGACTTAGTCAGTACATCTATGAGTTGTTGGGTTTGTAGGACTGTGCTGCTGTGCCTTGTAGAGACACTGTGCTGCGTGCTGTACGCTCAGAATGCAGTGGCTGAGCCATGAACAGTGCTAGGCTCTTGGTGGCCTCAGAGGTTTTATGCAGCTTCACCTCTTGTCAAGTCAGGTGTTCAAGATTTGCAGTGAAATTAGTTGTTTCTAGGGGGTCTGACACATTAGCTCAACCTACTCACTGCACCTGAGGCAATGTTAGCACTCCTGCTTTTGACTAGCTGTCTTTCACTGGTTTTCCATGTGAAGAGCTTATGAAACTGTCTGCCTTGCGAGCAGGTAAGAAAACATAGTCACATATTGTTAGGTTTTTTGTTTTGTTTCTAAGGAATGCTGAAAGGTTACAATTTCTGAGTTTTTCTTCTCCTACATGTTGAAGAACTGCTGTAGGTCCTCTTGAGAGGATGAGAAATATTGCATATTGTGTTCTTATTTAAACTTGTGTTGGGATCTCCGTGCTATCCGGAATAGAATTTGCTTACCCTCTGTACGCAATCTCAGTCAATGAGGTGTCTGTACCAGTGGAACCATGGCTGAACCAGAGAGGTGTAGGAGTCAGCTGAGAAACTGCAGTGACTTTGTAACTTACATTAAACTTTTTGGATTAGCTCTGGTATAAGGAATTTGCCTGAGTATAATTTGAACTGACTTCTTAGCTGATTTAGCGTAAACAGTACAAGAGCATCAGTGAATATTCTTCCTGTGTCAGAATAGCTTCTTTTGGGTCAGGTAAACAAGTAGAACTGGCGTGGTTCTACAGAAAGGAGCAGAGTCTTAATTTTCCGTTATTTTATGAAGATAATTGAAAAAAAGTATCTTTGCTTGGTAAGTTTCCTGCAAATGAGATGAGTTTAGTCTATTAGTTACCTGTTTGCTCCATGCCTCACACCGTGGGAAATCATGCTTCATTTATGTGCAAAGGCATTTAAAAAGAACCGGGTAACTGCTTTCAACTTGCTCTGCGTGGTGGAAATGAATACAAAAATATGGCAGGAGGTGATGGAGACTTTACATCAGACTTTGAAGATGTAAAATGAGTGGACTCTTCCCTAATAAGTGCAAATGATGATCTGTTAATGGTATAATGATGATCATTTTAATATTGAATTAAAGTTGGGTGAAAGAAAAGCACTTCCTTATGGATACCTGCACATTACTGTTGAGTAAGTTGGGGGTGTAAAATTTAATAGCATTCAGTATGGCTCCTGTGTTAATTGTGCACCCATTTTCCTTGAAACAAGAACAAAGCTAATCTCCCTTACCTAATTAGGTAGGTGATGCTGAGTGTTTAGCTTGGACAGTTACTGTGCGACACATGATATGCTGTAAGCTTATGCCTTACTTTGCCTTGCTGTAATTTGTATGTCATTCCCTGCCATGAAAGAAATTTGGAAGACATACAGGAGACACTTTACATACATATATATATATAAAAAGTTTCGTGCTTCATGGTCACTTGTGATGCCTAGCTGATGTGACAAGCTTCCGACGTTGACGGAAGTGTTTGGCAGTTTGGGCGCAGAACTGTGAATAGCAAAACAAGAAAACATCTGGTCTCTGTTGCTGTTTTAGAAACACTGGAAAACTAATTAGTTGCATAACCACTAATATATAATAATATGTACAGTGAGCTCAAATAAGTACCAGAAACGTAGGGATGTTTGACTGTTGTCTTGTAATGACCCACCTACCTATGTGGCTGAGACTGCATTTGAGTTACTTGCCCTAATACCTGTCAAAATGCAATTCGCTCTTTACGCACCTCTTTATTAAGAAGTGCTAATGCTCTGTTTGCTGGTATGTGCTGTGGTTTGTTCATGCCTAAAAATATGTTCTTGAGTGATAGATCGAAGTTCCTACTTATTTCAGAGGGCATTGCCATAATTGGGGGTTTAAAGTGAGCTGAAGGGAAACAATTACTTTGATCTTGAAAGAAAAGGTGATGTTATTGTTGAAGCAGCAGGGTAGAAGTAGGTTAAATTTAATGTTCCGTCTTTCTCTTTGCAGCATGCAAGTCACTTAATTTTTAGCTGTAGGTCTCTACATAAATGCGGCTCTTGTGAACAAGTGGAACAGATGTTGGGTGCTCTTGGACTGGGGGCACGTTTTTGTGCGTTTGGTTAGCTGGAGCCTCTTTTATTTGTACCATAGAAATTCCAGCAATTGCAAGTTGAGAGCATGTTTGGAAATTGAACCACTGTTTTAACTACACAGCTGAGTGAAGATGTGGAGCGAGTATCTGAAAACCCAACAGATGAGAGAGAAGGAGAGATGGATGTTCATGAAGATGCCAGCTCTGTTATTTTACCAGGTGAGAACTATTGACCCAGAAATTAGCAATTTTAAGTGCCTGATAAGCTGCTTCTGTGTGTGGGTTCAGTGTTTTTTTTTTTTTTAAATTGCACTTCTGAAAGCAAAAAAACCCACTAAGTTACTTCTTTTGGGGAAAAAGTGCTGATGGAAAGCCAAGGAGTTTTTCCAGGGATTGAGATGAGAACATTTCTTGGTCATGAGCTGTGCTCTTTCAAAGAAGATTCAGCACATCTGGTTCTGAGATAGCTTAGTATGTCATCTTCCTTTACACTGTATCTTACTTGAGTTGCAGTCTCTGTGATGGCAGTGGATTGCAAGCAAAAGTCTGTGCCAGATTTACATGAGCAAGGTGCAGTATTGAACAGATGTGCTTTTAAACAGATTTTAGTTAGAGTGTTTGGACCCGCTTCTGGAGCGTGTGGGGCAGTGTTACATGGGCTTATTGCAGCTCAAATGTAGGCATTAAGGTAAGCCAACCTGAAATGAGTATCCCCTAAATGCTTTGCAGCTGTTCAAGACATACTTGTTTCAATAGTGCAATTTTATGCATATTAATGTCCTAATTTCCTTGTGTGCCGTCTCCTGGCAATGAACTTGGGAAGATGTATGTGACCATGGACTTTTGTGAGAGGTTATGTGTTCAGTACGATTTACTAAAAGGCTAGTGTTTGCTGTGGTGAGGAACAAACACCAAACCATGCTGTTATAGTTGAAAGGCAGTGTGTGGCATGGCCTGAGAGGGCCTGACTCACTAGATTACAGCACACAAGAAAAGTCAGCGTAAAATATGCCGACTTACCTCCTTTCATATGTTGGGTTTCAATGCTCCTTTTGTGTGTTCAGCTATATATCGCTCACGATCAAAACATGATGTGTAGCATCATGTACATGAAGAGTACATGTACTTTTTTCTTACAAGTATTGCCAAAAGAAATGGTGAACATGAGGAGTATGGGGAAGGCAGTGTCTGTGTGCAAGTGAGACAAGTGTGAAGATCTTCAGAGAATAAGCTTGGAAGGCAAGGAGACTGTGAGAGAATTGGGTTGGTCTTTTTCTAGCTGCAATTGGAAGAATCCTTTTGTGAAACTTTATGTAGTATGCAGAAGGAGTTATGAACTAGAGTCCAAAAATGAGAGGGTAACAAATATCTAGTGACTTGTGCCGTGGTGGGGATGCAATGCAGATAGATGTGTAAGAGCATTAGAATATTAAATCTCTCTGCTGATGCATATGCTGAGTATGTAAGGCTCAGTTCAGACTGGGAAGGGGGAAAGGAGTTGGTTTTTTTTCCAGGAGGAAAGATTGACCATCAACAGACTTTTTTTCTTATCAACTTTGAACTTTGTTTCCGAGTTGTCCTTCTTGAAACTAAGCCTTGTTTTCTGCCTGCCATGTCCTTAAGCAGAGTTCCAAATTCAACATGTGAAAAAGAGGTACAATCTTTGGATGATTATGCCTCATGCTTGAGAAGGAAGCATCTGTCTGAGTGATCATCAAAACCAGCAATAGTTGTGGGTTGTTTTTTTTTTTTTTAAATCAAACTGAGTTTGAGGCTTACTTTCCTCTCAAGGGATTGATCTTTGAATGAACACTGCATGAATTCAGCCCGAAGATCTGTATTTTAAAGTCCTAATCCATATTCTGTTTGGTTCCAGATAGTGAACTGGGTACCACTGCCCCTTCTTTGCGTTTCAGCAAGACCTGCCTAAAGAATGTTTTTTCAGTAATTCTCCTGTTTATTTATCTGCTGCTCATGGCTGTAGCGGTGTTCCTTGTCTACCAAACCATCAGTGACTTCAGGGAGAAGCTCAAGCACCCAGTGATGTCTGTCTCTTACAAGGAGGTGTCTTTGTACGATGCACCTGGTAAGACTGGTAACAAACAAAATGCGTTAAGTTGTTGTTCACATTTATCTTGGATTGTTTTACATTTTTGGTGTTGATTCTCCAGCACCCAGAGTGCATATAACGCTTTGACCCAGGTCTTTCACTTCCTCTTTTCTAATCTATGTTGTGTTAACTTTGCATAGAAAGGCTAATATTGTAGGACAAATCTGGGGGACGTTTTAGGGGTTTTCATGCCGTTAACATGAATGACAGTAGCTGCGGAGCATGATGCAACGTTTGGTAGATAAGAAGTGTTTGCAGACTCTAGAATGAGTCCTCCTATAGGAAAAGAAGATAATTCCTTACGGAAATATTCCCAAAACTATATTGTTCAAACAGGGATGTGTATCAGGACCTCAGTGCTGCACTGGACAGTGAGATGCTGTTGACAGTAAAGAAGGTGAATTTCTCAAACCAACCACAAAATAACCACAATGCCACTTTCTGCTTCTGTTCTGCATTGTTTACAACTTGGCATTACATCAGTAGGCAATGAAAATGTGATGTGACTGCAGGGAACAATGTTGACATAAAAATGCAGTGTGGCACCAGAAAACTGTGTTGCAGTTTGCAGGAGGAATTATGCCACAGAAGCATTTTTGAATAGTGAGTTCTGTCATCGTTATTTTTTTAAATTATCCAGTAACCATTCATAAATAGACCTGCGGTAGCAAATGCAACTCAAACAGTCATAGGTCAGTTTCCAATTTAAAAAAACCACTTCTGTTTGAAGTGTTACCACATTTTACAAGTAACTACTCCAGTAATTGTGGCTGAAATGTGAGCGTTTCAAGTTGTTGCCATATTCCTGTAGTTGTTTTTCTGTATGGTCAGTTAGGCTCAACACTGTAAGTAGGTCCTTGCATTTGGACTGTATGGCTCTGACTGTAAGAGCAGGCTTTCTCCCCCCCTCCTTTTTTTTTCCCATGTGAGCTTTTCATACAGCAATAGGAAGAAAATATAATTTAAAGAAGCAGAGCAACATATATATAAATCCAAAAGTATTGGTGGGGATCCATGCCAGATCAGAGAACCTAAATTAACGTAGCCCTTTACTTCATTGCTTTGTTAAAGTGATGAGATGGCAAGTTGCAAGCATGGAGCACCGAAGAAAGGGATAAAGCATTTTTAGACCGGTATATGATGACTGCTTTGACATCTCTCATTTTGGTGGACAGGTCATCTCAGTTGTGTGAGTTAATCCTATCTAACAAATCATACTTTTTTTGGTAGTTGGTCTAGATTATCTTCAAGCAAGCTTGTTTCCAATACTAAATGTTGCATATGTGGCATAACAGCATTTTGGGTTTTGGGCCTTTTATTTTGCTAGCCTTCGACAACTGAGGTGACTGAGGTTTTTTTTAATGCATGCTGTTGGTCTGAAACCATAGATTTATCGTATATATGAATTTCCATACAGGTGAAGTAGTAGCCTGCTTACCTAGTGATATAAGTAATAAGGGGTGGTAACAGTTAGTACTTGTTCGATGGCTTTGATTTTTATTGTGACATTGTGTTCAGCGAACAGAAGATGCTACATGT